AATTTGTTACTAAACTTCATAGCCTTTGGAAGATAAGTACAGACATCTCTGTACCAATCCTCCAGACTTTACTAAGCCTGCTCGTCAATTGGGAGACCTAGGCAACCTAGTGCTCTGATACCAACTTGTCACGACCCGGAATTCCCACCGTCGGAACCGTGATGGCACCTAACATTCCACTTGCTAGGCAAACCGCCGTTAGAGAATTATTAATCCAATCCTTATTCAATATAGTAATATAACAGCAAATAAGCTAAAATGAAATACAGCGAGTGCGGAATAATATAAAAACTTCATTAATTACTACCACCCGGATCTGGAGTCACAATTTTATGAACTTCTAGGATTTACTACAAGTAAAAGTTTGAAAGAAATACAACTGTTTGAACGAAAAAAATAGTAAAGAAAATAAAAACAGAAAAGATAGATGGGGACTTCAAGTTCTGCGAACGCTAACAGATCTACCTTGAGTCTCTGATGAACCAGTCCAAGCTGCTACGCCTCTCGATCAGCTGGGACCAATACCAAAATCTGCACAGAAAGTGCAGAGTGCAGTATCAGTATAACCGACCCCATGTACTAGTAAGTGTCGAGCCTAACCTCAACGAAGTAGTGACGAGGCTATGAAAAGACACCTACATAACAAACTGGCGCAATTTAACAGTATATGTACAAATAACAGTTAAATATGTACTATTGGGAGGGAAAAACATGTTGAGGGGAATGCGAAATAGAGAACTACAACATAATGGTAACTTGAACAACCAATATACTATGAGCCAATAAGAACAAGTAAACACAGTAAAGGAAAAATGCACGGCATCACCCTTCGTGCTTTTACTCTCAACCTCACCATAAAATCAATAGAAACGATATGGCATCACCGTTAGTGCATTAACTCTTATAACATGGCACGACATCACCCTTCGTGCATTAACACTCACAATATGGCACGGCATGACCCTTCGTACATTAACACTCACAATATGGTACTGCATCACCCTTCATGCATTAACACTCACAATATGGTATGACATCACCCTTCGTGCATTAACACTCTCCCTTACCATAATGCAATGAACAAATAACAATAGGGTTAACAGTTCCTATAATAGTTGCCGCATCGGAAATAAGTCTTTTAAATTTAAAAATGATAAATCTTAGTAAGATTAACAATGTCTCAAGAAAGATTAAATGAATTGGCTATATTATCACTTAAAAAGAAATTATTAGAAGAAATTGATTGTAACAAAATTATTAACAACTTTGTATCTCAAAAAACTAGAGGAATAGACTTCAAATAAAAATATATATATTATAATCTTCAAAAACAAAAATAGATATCATATTAACCATTGACTTTAGGCCACACCTGTGCTTGAAAATATATTTCTAGAGGAGATCTACACATTCTAATAATTATCGCCCCTGAAAAAGTATCTCATTTGCAAAGGCGCAGAATCTAGTTTGAACATTATGTTGTTCGAGTTTAGAATTCCTCAATAATCTATTTGATTTGCTAGTTTCAAACTTTATTACGTATCTATACTTATTTAATAAATAATTTAACAAATTCAATAGAGGTCAAGCCAAAAGTATTCAGTTCAATTGACTCTGTAACTCCTTGCCTACATCCGCCCTTGCTCACCTGCTGGGCATAATGTCAAAAACAATGCCACAATAGCACAGGGGCGAATCTACATAGAGTCGAGGGGGTGCACCGCCACCCGCAGACCTCGGTCGAACTTTTATATATATATTTATATGTGTAGAAGAAATATTATACATATAATAAAATGGCACCCTAATAAACAAAACAGCCACTGGGTGCCAATGATAAATGCTCGAAAATATCTCCCTAGTAGCAGAAGTTCGAGACCTGTGCAACACATAAAAATTTTGGAACTTTTATTAGTACTATTCGACAATTAATGCGAGGTGGAGCTTTTATTAGTACTATTGGACAATTAATGTGAGGTGTACCACAATTCACTTGTTTTCTTTCTTATTTATTCTTTGTTTTACTTTATTATATAAAGTTTTGACTTTTCTATTGTGCTTTCTTTATCTATTAAAATACAAAAGCTCCCTTATTTCTCCAAAAACGTTTCCCCCCCAAAACTCTTCTCTTCTACGGTGCTGCTGTCCCAAACTTGGGGACTCTTGGATTTTCAGTTTTTCAGTCTGCCACTCACCGGTGGTTGGCCACCGCCATTTGGTGTCCACTTTTCTATTGCACCTCACTTTGTTGCTGCACCACTGCTTTGTAATTTGACTGTAAATCTCCCTTATTCTCGCCTTTTTTTAAATTTTTTTTTTATGTTGGGTTTCTCTGAAAATAAATTTTTGGTGGTATAGTTAATATTTAATAGTATAGACTTACAAGTTACTAAATCCCTTTGACCCTTTCATTTTCTCCCTTGTTTTCCTTTTATTCAATTCATATTTGATTTTTTTCTCTGTTCCAATCTTTAATTTATCGTTTATTGTGTTAGTGTGCATATTGTTCTCTTGAATCTCTGATTGTATTAGCTTTTGTATGATTTTTGTGTAAACATATGCTAAGATAATGTGTTTCATGATCATATAAGCTTTTAAAGCATTTTGTTGTTAGATTTTTATTTTCATTATTTGTTTTGTGCTTGCTAAGATAATGTATTTCATGATCAGATAAGCTCGAGCTTATTAGTTGTAGTGACCAACTAATTATGGTAGTATTTTGTTAATTGGAAGATATTTTCAATTGTTGTCAGAAGATGAAAGAAGCGGTTGTCTTTTTGTACTTTTCATGAAAGAGATTCTATGATATTTGTATTACTGCTGAAAATTTTATGATGTGCGCTAAGTTGTCATTTTTTTTTCGTTCGATATATTTATCTATATAAATCGAAAAGATGAATAGTGAAGCACAAAATTGATCAAACTGACTAAATATTTATCCCATTTGGACCGTATAAATAATAGTACATTTATGTATAAAATAATATGGCATCCGAAACCTTCAAATCCTAGATCTGTGTTTGCAATAGCAAGTAAATAAAATGAAAAGAGTAGATATATTTAATTGATGTGTCAAACTCTTTTTTTAATAATATAGTGAAACACGTCATATAAACTGAAAATTGTAAAATTAAATAAAAACGTTTATATAATTCATTTACTTCTCTGTTTAAATGCTTCTAAGAAAATGCGGTAGATTTTGTTGCCATCCAGTTCAGAAGCGGATCTATAATTTAAATTTTATGGGTTCAATTTTTAAAATTTTTAATATTGAATCCATTATATATGTAAAGTTATGGATTCAAATCTATTATTTTATAATTTTAATAAATTTTTACTTCGCGTCGAAAGTTATGGGTTTCGTAACTCTCACACTGGATCTGCCTCTGATCCAGCCGTTCCAATCATCCACCAAAATATTCAAAATCAGTTTTCTTGTTGTCAAATATACCGCTTATGGTATTTTATCTTTGAAAACAATAAATTTTCATGTCATTTTAGGTACCTAACTTTTTCTGACTATCAAAAGATTATGTAAATTATTTTTAATTTTTATTGTTGTTGGCTCTTAATTAGCTAAATGAAAGCAGTCGGTCATCTTCAGAGTGATATATCCTTATAGTTATGGTTTTCGTTTCATGCATTTATTTATGAGCAAATTTCATTTGTAGCCGGTCGGTGAAAACTATTATCATCCGCTAGCCATGAATTGTTCCATACAATTTATAGCCCCAAACAAATTATAATGACTAGCCTAAATTTGCTCAGATGCGGTAGATTTTGTTGCCATCCAGCCGTTCCAATCATCCACCAAAATATTCAAAATCAGTTTTCTTGTTGTCAAATGTACCGCTTATGGTATTTTATCTTTGAAAACAATAAATTTTCATGTCACTATACAATTTATATACACTAAACTGTCACTATACAATTTATATACACTAGACTGTCACTATATAAAATATATACAAAATAGACTGTCACTATACAAAATATATATACTAAATAGACTGTCAATATACAAAAAATATAAAAAAATAGAAATTTCGGGCTATTAAATATAATATGTTTGGGCCGAAGGGTCATTTTATGTGAGTGAGAAAAAACATGACCTATTAAAATTTAGAAGGGCTATAGAGAATAGTTTTCTCTTTTATTTATCCACCATTTGGACCACGTCACTATCATTTCCTGCTATCAAAAATTAACGTAAGTTCAAATTTCAAAGAGTCACTCTCAACAAAGCAGCCATTGATGAAAGCGGCATCTGGATATTTGGTTTTAACTGGTTGCCCGACTCCAACTTTACCAACTATAGCAGAAATTCATTAAAGATGTTTTTGTAACTAAAGTGTTATTCAATTTTGACCAAGTATAATAGAAAGCAACTCGCGGTTGCAGCACCTTGTTATGGGTAAATATAGTTATCGACTTTATTTGATAATTAGATTACGTTAGGTGACCTTTTATTATAAAAATCATTTACTACAGGAGCTCGACAGATCAGACAGTGAAGAAGAGAAAGAATGATCAATCTCCGAAAACCTTGCGTAGAACTGAGCTTTAAGAGGAATATTTTCTGTAATTCTGCACATAAAAAGTCAAAATTTTCTCGTAGGCTTATACTGAAATTACATTCAGATGGCCAAGAATTTCAGATGGGAGATCAAGGCCCGGGAGAAGCATAAAATATTTCAGATGAAGAAGGCCAGGAAATTTTCACAAAAAAAACATATTTATAGTTATGAATTTTTAACAATATCAGGATAGATATAAATCTCATATAATATGCTATGGGTGTGAGATCGGGTACAATAATAAGTTAGACAGAAATTGAAAAGGGAGAGAAAAAGTTTGTAAGTTGAATAAGTTTTTCTTTGATCACAATTTTTTTAATTAATTTTATCAGTAAAAAATTATGATTTACATTACCCTACTAAATCAAAATCACATATAGAAAGTTAAAATGTACACGTATTAAATTTCCTCATTCTTTAATTTTTAGTCGAAAAGAATATAGAAACTCAAAATAGCACTTTTCGACAATCCGAGAGAGAAAGAGAGGGAGAGCAAGATTACAATAAACACAAGAATCTATAAAAGGAAGTATTTTTCTACTGTTGCAACGTTAATAGCAAAATAGGTAAACGATATGTTCCTCAGTTTCAGAGGCAAAGCTGTAGCTGTATCCACATTTCAGGGTTTCAAATCCCAATTTGTCTATTCAACAAGCGCTACACCTGCCCCGGCCCATTTCTTGGTGAAATACCTGGTTGATTCTCTGGGATTTTCCAAACAAGAAGCAACCTCTACATCTTCCAAGGTAACTTCATTCAAAACCTTAAAGAATCCCGATTTAGTCCTCAATTTCTTGATACAAAGTGGTTTGGACAAGACCCAAATTAAAAAAATAGTTTCTAGAGAACCCACATTGCTATTCCGTGATGTTTCCAAAATCCTAAAACCCAAATTCCAGTGCCTTATGGATCTTGGATTATTCGGGTCGGACCTGGCGAATGCAATTGCTAAAGATACAACAATTTTTGATCGAGGTTTAGATACGCATTTGAGACCTACCATTGATTGTCTTAGGAAAACTTTGGGCACCGATGAAAATGTAGTTAAGGCTATAAAGAAAACTCCTTGGTTGCTTTCTTTTGGTGCTCATCATACTATTGAGGCTAATGTATTATTGTTGAAAAACGGTGGTGTTTCTGATGTGAAACTAAAAACACTTGTGCTTAGAAATCCTAGGTATATTATCCAAAAGTCTGACTGGGTTAAGGATTTGTTGCATAGGGTGGAGAAGGATTTTCGAGTTCCACTTCACTCTCCTATTTTTCCTTACGGATTTCATACGTTAGCCTGTCAAAGGAAGTCTACATTGGAAAGAAAGATTGAAATTTTCAAGAGTTTTGGATGGTCTGATAATGATCTACTCGAGATGTTCAGGAAGCTACCGCTTTGTTTTACTCAATCAGAGGTTAGAATTAAGAAAGCATTGAACCTTTACATGAAGGAGCTTGGTTTTGGACCTACTTACTTAGCTTCTCATCCTGCAATTTTGGTCTATATTCTGGAAAAAAGGGTGGTACCTCGGATGCAGGTCTTGAAAGTTTTGGATGAAAAGAAGCTTAAGAGGAGAAAGTGGAGTCTTTATCCTGTGCTGATGTTAACAGAGTCAAAGTTCATAGACTATTTTGTGATGCCCTACAAGGATCAGATACCTGATCTGTATGAAATACACATGAAAACTCTGGCTCCTTAACAGTTATAGTCAGTGTTACCAAGAGTCATTTCTGTCCCAATAAAGCAAACATATGATTACAGTATTGTTTGTCATTTCAACTTATTTTGCTTTGTAGTGACTAAATGTTTTCCGGAGAAAGGCACCAATCTAAGTATCTTTAGTATTTGATAAATGTCTAGCTAGCTCATAAATGTCTCTCTTTATGTCTTAAATACCTTACTTCATAAGAAAAAATGTCTCTCTTTATATCTTGTTGCTTTCAGTTCACATTTGGATTACTCAATGGTGTACCTAGTTTCTTAGTTTTGAAAAAAATGAGAACAAAAAAATGGGAGGTTCTATATTTCCATTAAGTAGAAAAGCAAGTGAATTAACTATTGTAGGAATTACTATTTTACCATGATGATATATGCCAGGTTTCAGGACATAATGCGCAGTTTGGTCAATGCTTTTGGCGTTTCTTGATTGTAACTCGGGCATGTTCTTCTATGGAGTTTATGTCTTTTCTTAGATTAGTGAGACGCTTTCAGAAAAGAAGTTTGCATATTCAGGAGTTAATTAGAATTTAATTACCATGGTTCAGAATGTACCTTGTTGTTTAACTCTCTTAGAGGTTACAATCAAGAGGAAGTTAGATTTTCTTATCAAGGAATTGGGATTAAAAGCGTACAGCTTGGCTTCAGCTTCCCTTTTATCATAAAATGTTGGACGAGAAGTTGGGTATGAGAGAACATTGTCTCTATCAAGTTCTCCGGTTAAGTGAATAAAAGTTTGTAGAGCAATCTCTGCTTCCTTACAGCAATCAGATTCCCAATTGGTATCTCACACAAGAAAATAGTGAAAAATTCGTATTTTGAGGAACACTTTTTTTGCTATTAGGTGCAAAATTTATATCTTTGCCTCTCACATTCACTTTGGTTGTTGAATGTTTTTGCTGCAATTCATCTCTTCAATACTGAATAATGCATATATGTAGACAAGAGATTATTGGAAAAATATTTTCTCACGTCAATGATCTTTTGAGTTTGACCGATTGTTATATATATCATATAATCAAGAAGCAACTTTTGAAATACGACTTACCTGACTCGTTTGTGTTGCTTTTAAGTTTCTCACTTTCTTTGCAGTTGTTCCAGACTTCCTATGGCTAATAGTTTACATAGCGCCAACTGTCATTTAATCAACTCCACATCCTTGGTTGAGCACCGTGGAATTACTTGTTCTGTACTACACTTTGGCTAACAGTTTGGTGCCTAGGTATGAGGTCATTAACATTTTGAATAATAAGTTTGCTGCCTAGACTAAGTTGAGTCTGCACTGATATGTGATTATATCTGAATCAAAGTTCAGTGTGAAATTCATTCTTTTCCCAGAAAAAGAAGATGTTTGGTCGGGTCAATTGGTCTTCTGGCCTACAAATTTGTTTTATGTCAAATATCCCAAAAGAACTGAATATGAAATGCAAGAGATCTATTTCTTCTATTCAAATGGTAAAAGATTATGTTGAACCATTTTCACGCATATTATATGTGGAGCCATTTGAAATCATCATACTTGTATCAATTAATCTGTGCTATACTTACATCTATCATGATAGGGTTGTCTTTTGGATTCTATACTGCTATATGCTGACATTGTTCAAGCTGTTTTTCTGAACTAAAAGTACCATATTTATATGCGGAAAATATCATATTTTGACTCCAGATAGCAATGTGTTCTAGCTCTGTACAGCAAAAGGCATGTTCAAATTTTGCAAATTACACCATGGGTCTCCATAGTCAGCAAATTTCTTGGCTAGTCGCCACAAAGTATTTTTTAACTGCAAGAGCCTTAACGAAGAACAACATAGGTCCCTCCTTAACATTACTTCTGAATGTGCAATTTTTTTCTGTCTTGTTATAGTTATTCAAAGGTAGCTCTGGCTATTTCTTTACTTTAGTAAAAGAGAGACAGATACCTCCTGAGCTTCTTTAACCATAATGCTATCGCTTTAGCTTTCTTAGATCCAGCCTAAAAGAACAGTTTCTTCAGTATTCATTTGATCTCTTCAGTATTCCAAAAGAAAGTATTCTTTCTTTCTTCTATACAACAACAACCCAGTGAAATCCCATATGTGGGGTCTGGGGAGGGTAATATGTACACAGTCCTTACACCTACCTTGAGAAAGTAGAGAGGTTGTTTCTGCTAGACCCTCGGCTCGGAAAAGAAACAAAAGTAAAGCAGATAAAAGGCTCAGGAAAGTTAAAAGCAAGAAATAACAATAAGCAGCATTACCAGCAAGACAAACAGAAAACTAAAACGCAAGAATCAACAAGTAATAGCAGAAATCTGAGAACAAGAAATACAAGATTAGAACTAAATAGAGCGCTAGATCCACGTGTACGAAGAAGATGCTCGACTACCTAACCTTCTACCATAATTCTCGACCTCCGCACCTTCCTATCAAGTGTCATGTCCTCGGTGAGCTGGAGCATTGCTATGTCTTGCCTAATCACCTCTCCCCAATACTTCTTCGATCTGCCCCTACCTCTCCTTAGGCCCTCCACGGCCAACCTCTCACACCTCCTTACTGGGGCATCATCGCCTCTCCTGTTCACATGTCCGAACCATCTAAGTCTCGCTTCTCGCATTTTGTCCTCTACGAGAGCCACTCCTGCCTTGTCCCGGTTAACTTCATTCCTAATCCTATCCAGCCTGATGTACCCGCACATCCATCTCAACATTCTCATTTCAGCCACCTTCATCTTCTAGACATGGGAGTTCTTGACTGGCTAGCACTCGGCCCCATTCAACATAGTCGGTCAAACCACCGCTCTGTAGAATTTACCTTTAAGTTTTGGTAGTACATTCTTATCACACAAAACACCGGAAGCGAGCCTCCATTTCATCCACTCCACCCCAATACGATGTGTAACATCCTCGTCAATCTCCACATTTCTTTGTATAATTGACCCAATGTACTTGAAACTATCTCTCCTATGGATGACTTGTGAATCCAACCCCGCATCCCTGTCCACTTCCTGATTCGCACCACCGAATTTGTACTTTAGATATTCTGTCTTGGTTTGCTCAACTTGAACCCTTTAGACTCTAGAGTCTACCTCCAAACCTCTAGCCTAGCGTTAACACCGTCTCTCAATCAGAACAATGTCATTTGCGAATAACATGCACTACGACACCTCCCCTTGAATGTGGCGTGTCAACACGTCCATAGCCAATGTTATTTCTTTCTTCTATCTCATCTGGATTTCATCTTGTACCATAGTTTTCGGCTAATCTAATAATTTAAAAGATGTTATTGCAGTTTTGTTCTTAAGTTCTACGTTCACCACTGATATGCGTCTGAAGAAATTTACTGAAACCTATAAGCTTCAGCCTTATTATCTGTGGTGTGAGACTCTGAGTTTGGAAGTCACATAACTAAGTTCGGCAGAAATAGAAACCCAAGAGAAATAATTTAAGGGGAAATTACATATAAATAAAACTCATACACATATATTACAAGTAAGTGGCCCATATTTAACTTTGCAAAGTTATAGCCCAAAAATAACATGCTAAGATTCAACGTTCAACTCCAAATAGGTTCTCGAAATTACTAGTTAATTTTTTTAAAAACAATACTCAAACTTTTAATCTAATCTTCGAATTAGTAATTGTCTCAAACATTAGTTTAACAAATCAAATCCATTTGGGTGGTAAAAACTAGATTTTTAAGATAATCCATCATTGTTGAACAAGCTTAAATAAGTGAGTTTAAATTTCAAACCTGACTTTATGAGAAATTTGGAGTGGACATTGTTTAGACTTGTTAGAAATAGTATAAGGAGGTTATATACAAAATTTGAAGTCATTTAATGAAGATTTGGACTGATCCACCATTGTTGAACAAACTTAAATAAATGGGTTTAAATTTCGAATATGGTCTTGTGAGAAATTTGGAGCTGGGTGTTAGTTAGACTTGTTAGAAATAATACAAAGAGGTTGTATATAAAATTTGAAGTCATTTAACGGATTTGAATTGTTTTGAACAAGAATTGCAACTGAAAATCGTGAAAGACGTTCGTCTACAGATGCTTGTATAAAGGTGTATAAGAGGTGTTTATACACTATTATACAATATTATACACTATTATACAAAAACTGACTTCGTCTTCTTCTTTGAGCCTCTTTTGAAATTTAACTCAAATCTAGCTGAAATCACTTCGCATTTAAGTTTTTAGGCCAACTACAAATGTAGTTGGGTAACTTGACCAATCGTGAAAGTGAGGCCATCTATGAACCTCCTAATCATCTCCCTGTCGGTGGGAACCAACCAGACAGCATGACGGGCCAACTCAGAAAATCTCATCTCATACTGTGTCACGGACATATCACCCTGACGAAGCTGCTCGAACTGCCTGCGCAGCTCCTCTCTGCGGGGACTGAGGCACGAACTTCTCCAGGAAGAGAACGGAAAACTCCTGCCATATAAGGGGTGTTGCGCCGACCGGCCTACGCCTCTCATAAGCCTCCCACCAACTGAAGGCAGCCTAGAGAACTGAAAAAGTAGTGAACGAGACCCCACTGGTCTCTAGAATAGCTGTTGTACGGAGTATCCTCTGACACTTATCCAAGAAGCCCTGTGCATCCTCTCCCACTGTACCACTGAAAGATGGAGGCTGCTGTCTCCCAAACCTCTCCAAACTATGCTGCTCCTCATAAGGCATGACAGGAACCACATAGTCCTAAACGTCTCGAATCTAGCCACAAGCAGTACAATATAATCAATACGGACTAAAGGAATCAATTCCACAAGAAAAATACAAAATTATAAGCCAAAATCCGAAATTGGTCAAAAGCCGGCCCCGAGCCCACATCTCGAAATTCGACAAAAGTCACAAAACCCGAAAGTTCCTTCACTCACGAGTCTAACCATACCAAATTTATCAAAATCCGGCATCAAATGGTCATTCAAATCCCCAAAAATTCATTCTTCAAATCCCTAGCCTCAAACACCCAAATTTCACCTAAACACCACACAATCTAGGTGGAAACAATAATGGGGAACAAGATCATTGATAAAAAAAACGAGTACAAGAAGCTTACCTCAAAAATCCTCTCCAAAATCGCTCAAGTCCGAGTTTAAAATGTTGAAATGAGACTAAAATTGCGAACCCTTGTTTTTAAATATTTTGCCCAGGCTTTTCGCACCTGCGACCACTTATCCGCACCCGGGGGACCGCTTCTGCGGTTATTACTCCGCTTTTGCGGAAACCACTTAAGTCACTGGGATCTTACCAGCGCTCTAGGTTTCGCACCTGCGGAGGCGCTTCTGCGGCCCTTTGTCCGCTCGTGCGGAAATAACCAAACCTTCAAATTTCACACATGCGCCCTTCTCGCCGCATCTGCGTCCTCGCAGGAGCGGAAGGAAAATCGCACACGTGACCACTGCCTTCTCCACCTAGCCCGCTTCTGCATCTCTCTTCCCGCTTATGCGGGCTCGCACCTGTGGTGCCCACTCCGCAGGTGCGGTTACACCAGTAGCAGCAATACTTCAGCTGCTTCACCAACTCAAAACCAAGTTCGTTGACCACCCGAAATCAACCCGAGGCCCTTGGGACCTCAACCAAACATACCAACAAGTCCTAAATCACGATATGAAATTAGTTGAATCCTCAATTCCCCTCAAACAATATCAAAAACACGGATTCAAGCCTAATGAACTTCGAAATTGCCAAATTGTACAAACGACGCTGAAACCTATCAAATCATGTCCGATTGACCTCAAATTTTGCACACAAGTCACAAATGACCCCGCAAACCTACTGCAACTTCCGAAATCGGAATCCGACCCCGATATCAAAAAGTCAACCCCCCGGTCAAACTTCCCAAAAATTCGACTTTCGTCAATTCAAGCCTAATTCTACTCCCGACCTCCAAATCACAATCCAGACACGCTCCTAAGTTCAGAATCACCCAACGGAGTTAACAGAACCATCAAAATTCCAATTCGATGTCGTTTACACATAAGTCAATATCCGGTCGACTTTTCCAGCTTAAGATTTCAATTAAGAGACTAAGCGTCTCAATTCACACTGAATTCACTCTGGACCCGAACCAACTAACCCGGTAATTCAGAAAACAACATCGAAGCACAAAAATGAGCAGAAAAGGGGAACGGGGATACAACTCTTGAAACGACCGGTCGGATCGTTACAAAGGTGTTATAGTTGGGTAAACTGGGGTAAATTTGAGAGCCCAAGTTACTTTTGCATTGATTGTAATCTTCGATCCTAGAAGAGGCCCTTTGGATGCACCAATTCTTAAAGACAGAGAAGGGTGTTCTTGAGGCAATCTTGAAAGCCATAGCTAATCCGTCTATAAACATTGTACCTCTCTCTATTGATAATTTTGATTTTCACAAATTGAAAGCAACTATTCACGACTTAACCAAGTCAGAGTATGGCTTGTCACTTTATGGAGTTTATTTCCACATTGAGTCACATTGCGCAGATAGCATTAGAGTTAATGGTGCATTCCTTTTTGAGTCACATTCTGCGGATAACATTAAAGTTACTGGTGCACCAGGTGAGCTGCGGAGAAAAATGAAAGGGAATAGCAATATTGACTTCACTGCTTGTGTGGGAATACTTGAAACTCTAAAGCTTCAACTTGAAGTTAAGGGGGTAGTTGAGTCTATAGTGGAGCATTTCAGCACTTTCAGTATGAAATCCAACAGACAACTAATTACAATTGACCTAAGTATTGTGATACTGGAGAATAAGGGTTGCCAAGGAAATTGTGCTTCTAGATCAAAGAGTTGCTATGGTCCACAAGATACAGCTATGTACTTCAGATATATTAGTTTCACCAAGGATACATCTGCATTGATTATGTTGAAAGCTATGAGGGATAGTGAACAGTCTGCATATGATAGTGCAAAGTCGTTGTGGCCTTCGTTGAGCAAAATCGTCATACCTAGCCTTGAAATCTCTGAAGCCTTACCATTTGTTGCTTTGCTGGAGGTGCTAGCGGCACAACTTGCCCTTGTTGTGGAGGGAGTTCTTGTTTTCCTTTCTACTTGTGATAGAGATGAGCTCGCCACTGCAACATACATACCAAGGTTTGTGCTAGTCATTGATGCCGCTTCAGTGAACATCATTACCAGCACTATTGTTGCTAGCACATATGGGACTGCTAGTTTCATCTATATATGCAAGTCAAGTTGCCAACTAGTGGCCTTTACACCTGTGGATGTTTATATAGCTACAATTAGTTTACTACTGTTTTTTATTGAATGATTTCTTGACTCGAACCTTGAGGACAAGGTTCTTATTGAGGACGGGGGTATTGTTATGAATCAGCCCCAACCCAGTAAGGATAACAACAAGGATGTTACAAAAATAGCTATTGGGCTGAGAAGAACTATTGGGCCGAGAACAAGTAATTGAACTAGGTTAATATGGGATCCGAGTTGAGTAGTGGCCTAAAAACCGATTAAAATGGTATAATTAGTGATATTGGGGGTATGCGTATTGTTAAGAAAAGTGTCTGCACTCCTCGTCTCCCTTTCTCCGTGTCTAAGTTCTCACCCCTTTCTTATCTCTATCGCTACTTATGTGTTCCGGTATTTTTCATTGTAATTCAGTAATTTGAGTGTTGAATAACAATTCGAATTTGTAATTGAGTTCTAGCTCATATTGATATAGTAAGGAGTTTGCCTATTTGTTACACCTTACCACCAAAGAAACATCAAGATTGTTGCATATCTTTCCTTTGACAACAAAACCACATAAGATTTTCTCCATAAAATTGACCATCTTCACCAAGCTCCTTTCCAATTTACGGGCTTTAAGATCTCAGGCATGCCAGCTTCGCTGGACGAGGATCTTGATTCCGCCTATTAAGTGTTTTTTATCATTGAATTTTATAATTAATAGTGGAAGCAAAAGCTAAGTTTTTGATCGACCTATTTATTATTTTTTTCTTTCATTTCACTTCAAGAAAAGCAAATTTATAACCAATGTATGTACTCGAAAGTGATCTAAACAATGACCATTTACGGGCAAAGAATATCTTTGAGACCCAAGACGACCAAAAAAAAAAGATGAAACAAGAAAGAGAAAGAAAAATTTTAAACCCTTATGGCAAGAAGTTAAAATTAGCTGGTAAATGGTAGGTCAGCTAACAAGCTTTAGAAAGGAAATTAATGGCAAACTTCAGAACGCATCCAAATCTATGAAACCTTCTGATTTTTCTGCTTAGTGGAGGTTTATCTGTTGATAGCTCCTGTTTCACTGGTTACGTGGACACTCTTTTGCCCGAGAGGAGAGCTTGGAATTTTTTTGGAAGGTTAACCTTAACAGAACTTCTTGCAGATTTGTTAGATTTTATGGTTGAGGACCAAAATGATACATTTATTCAAGGCACAATACATCCACAACCCCTTAAAAAGTTGTCCATATTTTTTACTTAAACACTTTATTTTAAGTATGTTCCATTTGAACACTCCAACCACATCTCAAATATATCATTTAGACACACAACTAAGTGAGTGTATTACACCATTTTTTCGGAGCGTGAGCGATCCGATTTTTCTTTTTAAAATTTTTCTCTTTCTTTTTCCTCATATTCTTTCACACACTATGCACAGGTCACCACATTCGCCCTCTCTCTCCCTCCACTAGTCCACCATCATCACCTTAATGTTTTAGTTTACACCAGCTATGTTGAATTGTCGTTGTGACAATTCATCAAACAGTTTGTGCGCATAATGTAGTTACTGCAACGTCGACATCCAAAGCAGTGAAACGCCCTCCCAAATTTTATTATGCTTAAAAGAAAAGAACAACTTCAATATAATTCAGCCGTAAGAGAGAGAGTTTTCCCGTCATCCGCACTCAGATAAAGCTCTTGACGAGATGGGGTAAAATCATGTGAGAGAAAACAAGATGAGAACGACGAGGAGAAGAGAGAGAACATAACGCCTACCTGGTCGACGGCGAGTTGGTGGAGGAGGTCGTGATCACAAGTGAAACATTTTTTGCCAAAGATTTCAAATAATTATTAAAAGAAAGGATTTTCCAAAAAAAAAAAAAAAAATTGACATAAATTTCTCCTTATCCTAGATATGAGTTTTCATTGATTGCTCTCAATTGAAACAAAGAGGATGATGAAGTTTATCCTTTTGTTCTTAGGTATTGAATTTAGAATCAATTTACTGCGGCATTTGATGAGGTTAATCATCCAAGAGAAATTGTTAGTTGATTTCTATGTCTACTACTTGTTCTTAATGTTGTAGAAGAATGGTGGCAGGGATGAGAGTTGATAAGACGACATGTGTGGTCCCTTGTTCTTCTCTTTTGGCAGGAGAAGACGGNGGGGGGGGGGGGGGGGGGTCATCGAGGAAGATGACGAAAGGATGAGCTGGGGTTCTTATTTTTCTTTCACTCTTTTTTCGAAAGTTTTTTTTTTTAAATTCACGTGTCCCACACTGTAGCGTGTGAATTACACGCATGTTTTATGTTTGACTGTTTATCAATTTTGTGTCTAAATGACATATTTGAAATATGGTTGGAGTGTTCAAATGAAACAGACTTAAAATAAAATGTTTAAGTGAAAAATATGCACAATTTTAAGGGGTTGCCGATATATTCTGTCTTTATTCAATACATTAAGGACCATATATGTTAGGGTACATATATCAAGGATCAAAATAAGCCAACCCCTATACATGAAGGACCATTTTGATCATTTTCTCCTCACCAGTGCATCGAGTAATTTTGCCCAGTAAAGTTTAAGTATATAGAAAGAAATCATCTAACTTGTGCATATACACGCTAACTCAGCTCATAAGGCTTAAGTGTATGTAAAGAAATCATCTAATATTTTTTTATGGAAGCAATAGTTTTATTTCTTTTCCTAAATCCAAAAAGCACTCCATTAAACTACACCAATTCATCAAGAGAAATTTTCAGAAATCACTATTGTTTTGTGGCTATTAACTTCTTATAACTACCATATACATAATTATTTCCTATATATACTATTCAGTTGTTACGGTAGTATATTCGTTGTATTCACGCGGCTGTATTCATTAATACAGCAAAAAAAAATGCCTAAAATCAGGGTAGTCCAGCTGTACGCGCATGTATTCATGTGTATTTGCGTTGCTATATTCATGAATACAACAGCAAAAAGCGCCTAAAATCAGGATAGTCCAATTGTACGCGCATGTATTCGCGCTGTTGTATTCATGAATACAGCAACAAAAAGCGCCTAAAATCAGGATAGTCCAATTGTACGCGCATGTATTCGCGCTGTTGTATTCATGAATACAGCAACAAAAAAGGCCTAAAAATTGGGCAGTCCAGTTGTACGTGCATGTATTCGCGCTGCTGTATTCATGAATACAGCAACAAAAAGCGCCTAAAATCAGGGCAGTCCAGCAGCACGCGCATGTATTCAAATGTATTCGCGCCATGTATTCATGAATACAGTAACGACAATCACCTTAAAAATAGGTATGTCCAGCTGTCTAATATCATAAATAATATCAATTAGCGTGATACACTCCTAATATAACTCAACAAAATCAATTCTTACATGCCTCATTATCAACCCAATTAATTAGAATGAATTTTCAGTTGTATATAACTGTTGTATTTAACTTTAGTATTTAGTGTGTTTCAATATTATTTTTTTACTGTTGCATTCATTAGATTCAATGTTTGTATTTACTGTATTTGCTATTTTATATTCAGTGTATTCAAATGAATTTGTATTGGCAATATTTTAGGTATTCCTAATACATGTTATTACTGTTGTATTCAGTATATTTCATTGGTTGTATTCAGTGTATTTCAATTCTATTTGTATTCCGTATATTTTACTATATTTCACTGTATTTTAAAATTAAATGTATTCACTGTTTATATTTTGTTCTATTTTAATATTTGTATTCAGTATATTTTAATGTTTATATCATGTATTCATACATGAATACATGTGTATTTAGCTGTATTAAAAAAATAAAAACCTTCGAAATACATGTAAAAAATAATGTATTTATACAAAAATATAATGTATTTGAGTGAATTTGTATAGAATACAATGTGTTTGTATCATTGTATGTGACTAAATAGCACAGAAGGGAAGAAAGTTCGTCGGATATGGCATTTTTCGAACAAGCAAAATATTATATACATTGTATTAAAACTAAAAATGGAGACGAACAAAAACTCCGGCCCTCAAATCATCTCCGGCTTAAAAAATGTTGCAGTATCTATGTAGAGGAATCCATTGAAATATCTGGCGTAGAGAAGGCCGCAGTCTCTTTCTTTCTAATATTGCAGTACAAATCTATTACAAATATCCGGCGTAGAAACTGAGTAGTACAAATCCATTGCAATATCCGGCGTATAAACTAAGTAGGTATTCTGCTCGAATAGAGAGAGAAGAAAGAGAGAGAAATTTTGTCGAAATTTTGAGAGAGAATCGTGTGTTAATTGAAAGAAAGAGAGAGAGAAAGAAGAAAAAATATGAGAGAGAATATTGTGTTAATCGTGTCAAGACAGCGTGCCTACCAACTATAACAGTGCCTAACTAATTATTAAATAATATATCTCAATACCCCCACTCAGGTTGGAGGTGGTGAAAACGCTGCCAACTTGCCTAAAACACTAGAATGTTTGATGCATGTGAGAGCCTTTGTAAGGATATCTGCGACTTGATGGTCAGTTGTAATGTGATGCAAAGAGATAAGGCCCTCTTGTAGCTGTTTCCTCACAAAATAGCAATCAAATTTGATGTGTTTTGTACGCTCATGAAATACAAGATTCTTAGCTATGTGTAAGCCTGACAAACTATCACAAAACACTGCAATTGGATGAATGGAAGGAACGCCTAGCTCAATCAGTAGCCTACTCAACTAGACCAGTTCACCAACCACTTTCCTAAGTGACCTATACTCTGCCTCTGCGGAAGATAGTAAAACAGTCTCCTACTTTTTAGATTTCCAGCTGAGTGGACCATTTCCTAACAAAACAATGTACCCACTCACAGACCTTCTTGAGTCTGGGCAGGAAGCCCAATCAAAATCACAAAAGGCTCTAACAGACCAGTCTGCAGTGTTGGACATAAAGACTCCCAAAGTAGGATCACCCTTGAGATATCTCAGTAAGTGATAGGCTGCCATTAGGTGAGGTTCCCTAGGGTCTTGCATGAATTGGCTCAAATGTTGCACCCCAAAGGCTATATCCAGTCTTGTGTTGGTAAGGAAGTTTAGTTTGCCTATCAACTTTCTGTAAAAAGTTGGATCCTCTAATGGTTTACCCTTCTTAGCCTTTAACTTTTTATTAGGATCGAGTGGAGAACTCAAAGCACTATACTTCAAGCAGTTGAACTCTTTTAGCAAATCTAAAACAAACTTTATTTGAGAGATAATCACACCATTAGGTTTGTATAGAACTTCCAGACCTAAAAAGTAATGCAAGTTGCTTAAGTCCTTTATCTTAAACTTATCATGAAGAAAAGCTTTCAGCTGACATATTTCCTCCTAGTATGTACCTATGACCAAGATATCATCTACATACACTGCCACATATACTACTAAATCTCCATATTGCTTGTAAACAATGAATAGTCATTCATGGAGTGGTTGAAACCTTTGGAGCGCAATGCCTCAGTTAACTTCTCATACCACTAACTATTTTCTTGCTTCAGACC